TTAAACACACATTCAGTGCTTGATTCACTTGTTCATACAAAGGTGGCAATTTCCTCTAAAGCAATCCTGGAGGAGCTGAAGGTCCAAAGGGAGAAACATGAGTCTGGATGTGTGGGAGGCCTTCTGAAGCCGGAACTGGTTGGCAGGCAGAGTACCTGCGGGATTGTGCAGGGCACAATCCCCTGCACCCAATGCTCCTGGGGGGAGTGGGCTGGGAAGAGGCCTCCTGAGCACAGCAGCTCCTTGTAGTCCTGTGGATGCTGGCTGTGAGGTCACTTCTGTCCCAGCACCTGTCTGGCCAACAGCATGGAGGCAGAGCCTCTGAGGTCACAAAGGCCCTCAGAAAGCTACCCCCAACAGGGTGATTTATTTTTTGAGGATGGAGGAAAACTGGGAGAATGAAGGTGGGAAATCTGGTGGAGACAAGAGGGGTTTGGCTAACTGAAAGGAACTCTGGTGGAGACAAGAAGTGTTTGGCTAACTGAAAGGCTAACACAGCTAACAGAAAGGAAAGATCTGGAAGAGGTGAGAGGGGTCCAGGTAAGACTTTGAGCTGAAACACTTACTAGGAAAACATGCAGGTCAAGCCCTGGCAATATTTCTAAGCAGTAACCGTAAGCCCTACCCCTACATCTAAATGCTATCCCTCTCTCTGCAAGGAATCCACTACTAACCTCAAACCTCACCTGGCGTGGGTCAACCAAGTCCCAAACCCATAAGGCCTTACCATACACTCTTAGCTCCTTTCTCACCTGAAGAAAATCCCAAAAAATAACATAGTCTCTACACTACACACAGACTGGAACCCAAAGCAGTAAACACAGGCCTCCCTCTGATACTCTGCCCAACCACTAACCCTGGAAGGCAAGATCTAATCCCTAAACCCTAACCTGAACACGTAATTCCCAAATCCTGCATTCCTGTGGTCTAGACACCTAACTGAAGCTGTTTGAACTCATGAGGCTGGGCAGGGCTTGAGAGGTCCTGCAACAATCCCTTGGTCTTGGAGGAGGTAAATGAGGTGACATGGATGTGGTCAGGTCACAGGACACAAGGAGGCAATGGGTGGAGATGTTCTGCTGAGATCAGCTGTGATTCAGGGTCTGAGGAGGCAGCAGGAGGCCCATGGTTGTACAGGTGTGTGTTGGAGCAAATTCTCAAAGCTTGTTTGACTATTACTTGAATTCTAAAGGCTGGAAATACTGCACTGAGCACTTTGGGGATCTTTCCAGCCCAGATCAGGGTTAGCACATGCCCTGAGTCAAGCTCCAGTATCTCTGCAGAGACCCCTTGGTCCTGGAATGTCCAAGGTGTGTGTCACCCAATGTGTCCTGTAAGGAAATGCACAGGTGTGCAGAGGTGGCCTGTGGTAGTGCAGTCCTTGTTGCTCTGGGATGTGTGTGGATGTGTTTGGGTTTGGTACAAACACCTGGACTGGTTTCTAACCTCCCACCTAAGCACAAGTGAGAAATAGCTCAACCCCTGCCAAAACCCTCCTTGTTTTATCTCTTCCATGGAGGGCAGAGCCAAAAAACCTCAGAGCAGTTCTCCCAGGTTTTGCCTCTGCTAGAAGGCTTTCACATGCCTTGCCATTGCCGGCTCATGGGTCTGCTGCTGCTTGTCTGGGCTCTGTTTTTACTTTGCGGGTGGGAGGTTGTATTGGACTTACATGGAAAATGTTTTGTAGCAGGGGGCAGCTGCAGGGCTGGTGTCTGTGAGGAGAGTCCAGAAGCTGCCCCTTCTTAGACAAGAGCCACTTCCAGCTGGCTCCAAAAGGGACATGCTGCTGGCCAAACTCAGCCAATGAGTAATGCTGTTTGTACATCTGTGAGAGCTTTTTAAAGAATGGGGTTGAAAATGACATGAGGGAATAGCTGGGAGAGAAGATTGAGAAACTGAGAGAGAAAACAACCCTGCAGACACCAAGGTCAGTGAAGAAAGAGGGTGAGGTGGTGCTCCAGGTGCTGGAGAAGTTCTCTATGAGACCTGTGGTGCACCGTGTTGGAGCAGATCTCCACACTGCAGCTGATGGAAGACCCCATGTGGGAGCAGGTGGATGTGGCCTGAAGGAGGCTGCAGCCCTTGGAGAGCCCCTGCAAGAGAAGACTCTGTGTCAGAACTGTGGAGAGGAGCCCAGCTCTAGACAGCCCCTCACGTTCGGGACTTTCTTCTGAGGAGAAACTTATATCAGCCATTTGACAGATGCTGCACAGGCATCTGGACATGACTCAGGATGGCATCACCCTTCAAGAAGGAATTACCTTTGGGATTCCCTCAAAGGACAGAATTCCTCTCTGTGTCACAGCTTGAGTCACTGCACTGTGAATGCTGACCGAGGTCCCACCATGACAGATGCAACCTCATGCTTCCCTGCAGCCACCCCTCCAGTGTTCCTGAACTACCATTGACAATGCAGACTCAAGCAAACAGAGACAAAAGGGAATGCAAGAATGCCAGTGCTGTACAAACTCAACAACAATGATACATGCTAGCAAGTAACTGGAACAAGAGCTGAGAACCAGCTCATCACAAGCACCAAATTCATGCTTAGTTGGTTTGAAAGGACTGAGCACAGGGCATCACAAGAAGCCTAATAGCAGGAGCTACATCTTCTCAGTGTGGACTCAACAACAACAACCCCGCAGAATGACAACCCATCCGTCTGCTCATGGCTTGGACAGGTATACAGTCTGCTGGCTGAAGAACTGTCTGGATAGCCATGCTCAAAGAGTCTGAGTGAAGAGAGATCAATCCAGTTGGTGGATGGTCGTGGGTGGCATTCCCCAGGCCTCTGTACTGGGTCCAGCTTTGTTTACTATTTTGATGGATGATCTGACTGAGAGGATCAAGTACACCCTTAGTACATTTGCAGATGATAACAAGTTAGTTGGGACAGTTGGTCTTCTTGAGGAAGGAAAGCTTTTCAGAGGCATCTGGAAAGGCTAGATTGATGGACTGAGTCCAATCACATGACATTCAACAGTGCTTCTGGACTTGGGTCATAACAAGCCCATGCAGTAGCATAGGCTTGGGGAAGAGTGGCTGGAAAGCTGTCCAGAAGAAAAGCCCTTGGGGATGTTGGTAAACAGCCAGCTGAGCATGAGCAGCCACCCCCTGTCATGGGCAGGGACTCTGACATCTTCCAATAGATCATCTGTGATTATGAGGTCACTGTCAGCTGAAGATCTGATAGGCCACGAGCAGGCCCATGGCAGGTGAATATTCCTGCGATGCCAGTGGTGCCTGAGTAGCTGACAGGCCGAGAACAAACATGGCCTGTGCTAGATACTGGGAGGACCCTGGTGCCTGAGAAGCCAGGAGGCCAGGAATAAGCACATGGCTTGTGTGGGTCTGTGGGGAGCTCATTGGTGATCAAGTAGCTGATAGGTCAGGGCAAGGCCCATGCATTGTACCTGTGAGGCCACTGGTGCCTGAGGAGCTGGCAGACCAAGAATTGTGTAGGTGTTTGTGAGGTCATTGCTGTCTGAATGCAGGCCAGGAACAGGCCCATGGCAAGTGAAGATGCTATGGCATCACCTGGAGATTGGTTGAACCGAATTTTGAAATATCCTGCTCTGGAAATAATTGAAGATCAGTGAGACCAACTTCAGCCAACAGAATAAAATTAAATTATATGTATCTAAAAAACTATAAAAGATTTATATCACAAATATAAAAAATATATGTATATATTTATAAATATACATATATTGAACACTATATGTATGATATTTATAAAAACTCATAACATACTATTTAATACAATACAATATATATTATTTAAATAAAATAAAAACAAAAAATAATTATATATTATACATTATATAATATAACACATATATAATATATTATACATGTTATATATTATAAATATATATTATATATATATTATATATATATATGTTATATATTATATAATTATATAATTATATAATTATATAATATATAACATAATATATTATTTATTGTATTATATATCATACTATATATATAATACTCTATATAATATAATATTATAATATATAATAATATGTGTATGTATAATATAATATAATATAATATAATATAATATAATATAATATAAAATAATATATATTACATATTATTATATATTATATTATTATTAAATATATACTATATAATATATAGTGTATATATATGCTATATACTATATACTATATACTATATACTATGTACTATATATATAGTGTATATTATATAGTATATTCTATATAATATAAAGTATATAGTATATAGTATATAATACATAATAACATAGCACAACATAACAATAAATATATTGTATGATAATACAATATTATATGATATGATATAATATATTAGTAAAATATAAATTAGCAGAATATATATTTTCATATGTATTTACCATATTTATTTATTTATTTAAAATTATATATATATATATATATATACATATATATGAAACTGTACATCTGAGAGCATTGTCCCAACACTTCTTGGACTCTGCCAGGCTTGGAGCTGTGAGGAGGCTGGGAGGCACCGCAGGGCCATGCCTGGGCACGGGGCCAGGAGGAAACCACCGTCTTCCTGCCCGGGCGCCATGTCACGTGGGCTGCGGTTTGTGCACCTGCAGTGGCAGGCAGGCTCCAGCTCCCAACCCGCCGCGGGGAATAACGGCCCCTGGGTGACACGCTGAGAGCCAGGGAGACGCCTGAGGCTCTGGGCTGCAGCTCTGCTGCCAGGGCAGGCCCTGGACCAGCTCTGGCTGCTGCCGGGACCCCACAGGAGGCTCCCTGGGGAGGGACGGGACAGCCAGCACCCCCATCATGGGGCTCTGGCCCTGCCCAAGGGCCTTTCTCAGCTGCTGCTGCCAGCACAGAGGGGGCTGTAGCAGGGGCAGGGGCTGGTCCCTTCCCAGCCTGACACAGCCCCACTGCAGGACCAGTCCCCTGGATCCCATGGTGCAGGGCCATCCAGACAATCTCACCTTGGGCTCTTGGATGCTACAGCTCAGGAGATGCTCCGTGCTCCCACAGCAGGCTGCAAGGGGTGTCAGAGCCATCTGCCCCCACACCCAGCCCTACCCCACGATGATGTCCCACCGCAGTGACGTGAGACCCGCAGCGGAGCCGTCCCTCATATATGGTCATGAAGAGCGCTGGAGAAGTTCATTGGAGAGCTGGGCTGCGTCGGAGGGGAGATAAGTGCCGATATCGTCTAAAAAGGTGCCTGCTGCTTCGATTGGCTCCTCCTGCAGCTGGGACAGCATCTGCACAGATATATTGCCCTCCCATCATCTCCATTTCACCGTGGGTCCCCAGGAGCTCCAGCAGCAGGGCCGTGCTGTCAGGACAGGAGCCTCAGGATGGGGACAGAGGGACTCCTGTCCCCTTGGGTGCTGTGTCTGCTCCTCTGGGTGCAGCCTTGCAGAGGTAAGTGCCAGCTTCTCTGTTCCACAGCCTTGGGACAGTGGGCGGCAGTGGGTTCATTGGGATGCCTCTGGGAGTGGGGTTGCCTTGCAGGCACCACTGAAATGAGAGGCAGAAGGTGCTCAGTCTCTCAGCTCTGTTCTTTAATCTGTGCCTGTCTGGGTGGGAGGGGGTAATCCATTTTCATATCTCCCATGTTTTTGGCAGCCCAAGCCTGACTTCATTTCTAGACACCTTGTCCTTGGGTACCTTTCTGGGACCCCTTGTTCCCCAGCACTGTGCCTCTGCATCTGGAGGAGTCCCAGACAGTGAGAGTGGCCCTCAGTGAGCTCCAGGGCACAGCCAATATCTCGGGTGCCCCAGAGGGGTTGTGTGATGTTCCCTGCCCCTGGGATCTGGGGAAACACGGACTCCAGGAGGGCAGGTTTTGTCCCATTAACAGAAGGGGACTGAGGCATTTGCACCGAGAGGTGTTCTTCTTGGGGGCCCTGGTCAAGCACAGGGGCCAGTCTGACAGCAGGGATGGGGAAGGGACGTGGGCTGTTGGTATCCTTGCGGTCAACCCAGAAAGTGGGTTTGGGAGGTGCCTGTGGCAGACAATGGGCAATGGAAGCTGCTCACGGGCATGGGTCTATTTGGGGGACACTGGGAAGGGGAGGAGTGGGAGCCCCGTACAGGGCTGGGGGCTGTGTGGGGGTGGGCATGGGTGGGGGCAGGGTTCCGCTGGGGTGGGAGGAGGTGGTGAGGGCTGTGGGGCAGCAAATGGCCCAGGAAGGCTAGAGCTGGGTACCCCCAGCCCAGTGTAGCCCATGGGGAGAGGAGGAACCCCCCGCTGCCCCTGAGATAGCCTATGGGGACTGGGATCCACCCTGGGAACTGGGAGTCTGCCTGGGGAGGGGGTCCTCACGGACACACAATGTGGGGCTCAAAACTCTCCTGACCCTTCCTGTGTTGGTGTTTGAAGGGGCTGCGGAGGTGAGGCTGGCGGATGGCGGCAGTCGCTGTGCTGGGAGAGTGGAGGTGAAACATCAGGGCCAGTGGGGGACCGTGTGTGATATCTCCTGGGACATGTCCGATGCCGCAGTGGTTTGTAGGCAGCTGGGCTGTGGGGTTGCTCTCGAAGCTCCTCGGAGTGCACAATTTGGGCCAGGATCTGGGCCCATTTGGATGGATGCTGTTTTCTGTAATGGCAAGGAGTCTGCCCTGTCTGACTGCACATACAGAAGACGGGAGGTATCTTACTGCTATCACAGTGAGGATGCTGGAGTGACATGCTCAGGTAAGGACTGAAATTCTTCCGTACCTCTGGGATGAGGACGCTTCTAAGGGACCTGGCTGTGACCTCAGGAAGCAACAAGTGGACACCAGAACATGGCTCTGTGTGTCAAGTTGCACTCTGAGCTGGGTCTGTCACTGCTGGTGTCCCTTGTCCCTGGGGAAAACCCAGAGGGAGTACACCCAGCCTGGCCTTGAAGCTGGAGCAGCCAAGCCTGGGGAGGTGCCTGGGTCTGGGAGAGGAAAGCCCCCACCCTTCCCCATTGTGCTGCCTGGTTCCCATCTTTCTCCTCCATTCACCCAGGCCCTGTCTGGCAGGCTGGTCCCTATGCCAGGGAAATCTAGAGCAGCTCCCCCAGCCACCAGCAGCCTCAGGGAAGGGCGTGCAATGGCCCAGGACTTTTGGGTTGTACCCCCAGCAGACAAGAGAACCTCGGCCAAAGCAGAGGGGCTGCTCAGAGGTCAGGAGCACTGGGCTTGTGCAGAGGAACATGGTGGAAAGTGGCACCTTGTTCCTGTCCCGGGGTCACCCCATGAGAGCCAGTCCCTGGAGACATGGCCCCTCCAGGCAATGCTGACCCACTGCTCAGCCTCTCCTGCCTGCTCTGTGCCCCAGGGGCTGTGCCAGCACCTCCTGGCTCTCCTCTCTGCCTGCCCTCACACCAGGAGCTTGTGTCAAACCAGGGCTGCTCTCTGCCTGCTTTCCTGACCCATGCATGGTAGGTGGCTGGGGACATGCATGCCCAGCACCACACTGTCCCTACCAGAGGACCCCCCTTTGCGAAGGATCCCCCGATGTGCCCCATGTAACAGCAGCTCCCCAAGAGCCCCATCATTCGCTGAAAACAGGGGGGCTTTTTGGCAGATCCAAGGATTTCTTCTAAATGGCCTGAGCCTTGTGGGGCAGAGCAGGCTGAAGTAGCCCTGAGTTCCTGGGCCTGTTTCCCCGGGCCCACGTGCTGCGGGTGCTGCAGTGCTGGGTCTGGGGCCGGGCAGCCCAGGGGCTCCGGGCAGCAGCAGTTTGAGCGGTGTCTGCAGCTGGGGGCTTGGAAAAGAGGACATGGGTGCTGGGCTGGTTTCTGAGGAGCAGCAGGGGGGCCCTGACCTCTCTGTGCCACCAGCACATTCTGAGAGCTGCTGGGCTGGCTGGGGGACTCTGCATGTGGCTGCCTTAGGGATGAGGTGGGCATGGAAGTGCCAGAGGGCTCTGGGAACTCACAGGTCTCCTTGGTTGCTCCAGGATTTGTCCGGCTGGTTGGAGGGGACAACCCCTGCTCAGGAAGTGTGGAGGTCTACGACAGGGACCAGTGGAAAGCTGTCTGTCACTCCCACTTTGGTGCCAAAGCTGCCGAGGTGGTGTGCAGGGAGCTGCAGTGTGGCACAGCCCTGTCTGTCCATGGGGCAGCTCAGCTGGGAGAAGGGGCCGGTCCTGTCTGGGACAGAGAGCTGCAGTGTGTGGGGAATGAATCCGTCCTCTCCTTCTGTCCCATGGGGGCCTCCAAGGACAAGGCCTGCACCCACAGCAATGGCACTCATGTCACCTGCACACGTAAGGACTTGGGGTGGGATGGTGCCCACGGGGGCTGTGGTGGGGGAAGGAGAGCAGGGTGGGCACTGGGCTGTGCTGGGTGGGGGACAGGTGGGGTGAGGTGGTGGTCTGCAGCCCTAAAATTAGAGTGCTGCAGGAGGAGAAAGGCACGCTGTCCCTTTGGCCTCTCCTGCAGCTCCTGTGGGAGCAAGAGCACAAATGTGGCCTCTCTCACCCTCCTTTGTCCTTGAGTACACAGGGTTCAGGCTGGTGAACGGCAGCACAGCGTGTGAGGGCAGGGTAGAGGTGGAGGTGCTGGGGACGTGGGGGACCCTCTGTGCCTCCCGCTGGGACCTCTCGGACGCCCACGTTCTGTGTCGGCACCTCGGCTGTGGCTTTGCTGAGTCCATTCCTGGAGGAGGGCATTTTGGGAGAGGAACCGGCCCCGTCTGGAGAGACTCGTTCCACTGTGACGGGACTGAAGCCCACCTGGGGCAGTGCCCGGTGACTGCCCTGGGGGCCTCGCCGTGCTCCCAGGAGAACGCTGCTGCTGTCATTTGCTCAGGTGAGTGCTGGGCAGTGCTGCAAAGTCCATTTGCCCCTGGTGTGTGACACGGCCACACAAATTTGGGGAGCTCATGGCAGAGCCTGGCTGAATGTCTGCTCTCACCAGGCCTAACTCACCCCATGCCCCTGCGGTTGGTGGGCGGAGGGAGCCGGTGCGACGGGCGCGTGGAGGTCTTCCAGCACGGGACGTGGGGCAGAGTCCTGGATGAGCAGTGGGACATGCAGGAGGCCAGCGTGGTGTGCCGGCAGCTGCAGTGCGGAGAGGCAGAGGCAGCCTACACCCCCGTGAGGGCCGAGCGAGGACGAGGACCTGTGGGGCTGCGTGGGGTGCGGTGTGCAGGGCACGAGGCTGACCTGAGCCTCTGCAACACCTCCCTGCCTCAGAGCATGCCAACAGAAGGGATCATGGAGGACGTGGGGGTCGTGTGCCGGGGTGAGTGGTGCTGCACGTCCCCCAGTTTCAGGTCCAGGAGGGCAGCCAGCCCCTGACAGCCAGGGTTCTCCCTGCTGCAGGGAGCCGGCGGGTGCGGCTGGTGGACGGGGCCGGGCGCTGTGCCGGGAGAGTGGAGATCTACTACCAGGGGCGCTGGGGCACCGTCTGTGACGACGCCTGGGACCTGGCCGACGCCGCTGTCGTTTGCCGCCAGCTGGGCTGCGGAGGGGCCCTGGAGGCAGCCGGCTCTGCTCGGTTTGGGGAGGGCTCAGGGCAGATCTGGCTGGATGGCGTCAACTGCTCCGGGGCTGAAGCTGCTCTCTGGGACTGCCCTGCCGAGGCCTGGGGGCAGCACAACTGCAGGCACAAGGAGGACGCAGGAGTCATCTGTTCAGGTCTGTGCTGGGAGCAGGACTGGGAGACGTGGACAGTGAGGCCGGGGTGAGGGTAGAGCCAAGGCCCTCAGTGGCTGACATCCAAGGATGTCCCTGTGGCCTTTCCTCCTTCCAGAGTTCACGGCCCTGAGGCTGGAGAACAGCGACGGCTGCTCTGGGCGCCTGCAGGTTTTCTACAACGGGACGTGGGGCAGCGTTTGCTCCAACTCAATGACCACCAAGACGGCGTCACTGGTGTGCAAGGAGCTGGGCTGCGGGAATGAAGGAGAACTGAAAACAGATTCTAACTATGCCAAGCTGTCTGGTACTGCATGGCTGGATCACGTGGAATGTGGGAAGAGCAACAGCTCCTTCTGGCAGTGTCCCTCTGCTCCCTGGGATCCGCAGTCGTGTGATGACAGCCGAGAAGAGACCCACATCACCTGCAATGGTAAATCTCAGCCATCAAAACACCAGGTCCTGTTCCCCAATGGGTATGGTGAAATGCAGAGAAGGAACCCAGAGGGGCTTTGACTTCCTGCATTAGACCCTGTTGCTACTGGTACACAAAGGTGTCTTCAGCTCTTGGAGCCACCCATGTCCACCAGCAGCAGTCAACAGCCGGGCTGCCAGCAGCCCCTGGGGGATGCAGAGGCAACTCCAGGCAAGGTCTGAGAGGAGACCATACAGGGCTTTCAGGAGTCTCCCCTCCAGGGACAGCCTCCTGCTGCTCTGTGAATCAGGGACCCTGTGGGGACGAGCACTTGGGTCCCCCCTGCAGTACCGTGTGTGTCCCCTGAGTGAACAGGGTTCTGCTGCTGCCCTGACCCAGGCAGCATGGGGATGTGCGAGCAGAGGTCAGCCCTGCGCTCTTCTGCATGACCCCCAGAACAACCCTTTTCAGCCCAACTTCTCTTTCCTTTGGGACATGGACAGAAAGGCCGCAGGTGGCTGCATGCCCCAACTCCACCAGCTGCACAGGTAGGGAGCTGCCCCTGCACGTGCCCCCCTCACCTGGCAGGGCTGTCCCAGCTCTCCTGGTGCCATGAGACATCGCTGCCTCCCCAGACAGGGAGAAGATCCGTGCTGTGGGAGGCAAGGACGGCTGCTCGGGCAGAGTGGAGATCTGGCACCGCGGCACCTGGGGGACGCTGTGTGACAATGCCTGGGACATGCGGGACGCCGAGGTGGCGTGCAGGCAGCTGGGCTGTGGCCCCGCGCTCTATGCCCGGGGCCAGGCTGCTGCTGGAGAGGGGACGGGCCCCATGTGGCTGATGGAGTGCAGGGGGACGGAGCTGTCTCTGCAGGACTGCTGGGCCCAGCCAGGGGACAGCGCTGCCTGCCAGCATAAGGCAGATGCGGCTGTGCATTGCTCAGGTGAGCAGTGGGGCTGGGAGACATGGCTGGGGGCTTGGCAAGGAGCTGGCTTGGGCATCTACCCTGATGGATCCTGGCATGGCCCCAATGCGGGACCAAGCAAGGGTTTCCCTGCAGAGTGGGAGGCTGGTGGTGGGTGGGGAGCAGCCTCTGTGGGGCTGGATGTGCCAGCACATCCCCTGGGCTGCCTGCACTGTCCTGTGAGCAGCCCAGAGCAGTGGTGCTGGGCCCTGTCCCTGCCACCATGCTCAGCCCCAAAGGAGGGACAATTCAGGTGGCACATGCTGGGGTCATTTACCAGGGAGGCTGCCTGGTGCCACAGCCCCAGCCTCTCAGCCCAGCTCTCCTTCTGCTCCCCTGCAGCTGCACCCAGGACAGCAACACCCCCCCCACAAGCGGGTAAGCTCTCCTTCCCCAGGGCTGGGTCTGTCCATGTCCACGCTGTGACCCACAGCCAGGGGAAGGGGCTCCTTGCTGGGCTGTGAAATTGAGGGAGTTGGGAGAAGTCTGTGATGGGGGGAGTTGGGGTTGGAGCAGGGTGGGAGCTGCCCCATCACCCAGCCCTATCCACCCCAGCCCCTCCTGCCTTGTGTGGTCAGGAGTGGCATGTCCTGCCCCCGACCTCTCCCTTGCTGCCCCTGCCATGTTCCTGCCCATGCAGATCCCCCACAGAGCCGTCCGACCACCAGCAGTGAGGGACTCTCTGTGCCTGTTGTCATCTGCATCATACTGGGGGCCCTCCTCTGCCTGCTCCTGGCCCTCCTGGCCGGGCAGGTGCGAAGCGCCAGGGCTCGGCGCAGAGGTGGGTCCTTCCCCCAGTGGTCCTGGGGGGGAGATGCCTCTTGGCAGGGCTGGGGGTGTTGGTGTCCTGGGGCACAGAAACAGAGCCGTGTGCTGCCTCCTGCCCCATGTGCTGCCCCACTGACTGACAGACCATGGGGCACCAACATCAAGGGGTGGAGAGAGCCCAGAGCCTGAGGCATCAGTTCTGGGGTGAGAAGAGAAATGTGAGAGCTGGACTGGGTGAGAAGGGGAGGATGCACTGCTGGCAGTGCTCTGGACAGCTGTGGCAGGAGGAGCATGGGGCAGTGGAGTCCATCACTGTGGTGTCAGCCACCTCCCAACAGGACACGGGCTGTGGTATTGCTGTGTGGGGCAGAGATGGAGCAGCTCCATGTGGAGGAAAAATGTGGGAATTGGTGCAGGGTCTGCACTGGGACGTGACCCAGGGACCAAAGGGGAACAAGGGCTGTCTCCAAAGGGATGGTGCGAGGCTGACTGTGCCCCAGACCATCTCCATGGGAATGCTGCTCTCCCTGGGGATGTGGCTGCAGTGCCAACACAACACAGTGGGGCTGTGCTCTGGGGACAGCCCTGTGCTGGCCCCGATAATGGGGCTGCGGGAGCCCAGTGGGGTCCTGTCCCTCTCTGCCCATTCCCAGACCAGCCCTGCCTCTGTCCCCAGGCTCCGGGAGAGCTGGGGAGCCCTTCCCTGAGGCCGTGTACGAGGAGATCGCTTACAGCCTGGCGTGGGAGAAGCAGGCGAGGTTCAGTCTCTCAGGTGGGTGCAGGTAACCTGCGGGGGCACATCTGCTGTGTCCATTCTCCCTGTCTCAGACCAGGGCTGTGCCCTGCAGCTCCTGCCCATGGTCCCTGAAATGGTTGGACCATGGGGTCTGTGGGAGAGCATCCAGGTGTTGGCCCCCACAGAGGAGCTTCCTCCACACCAGCTCTGCCCATCCCAGAGGGGATAGCCCCTCTCTGCTTGTCCCTGCACCTTATTGAGTGCCAAGGGTTAAGCAAAGGGCTGTCCCAGGCCAGCTCTGGGAACCTCTCTGGGAAGTGCCTTGTCCCAAGGGAACTGGTCTCCTGCCCATGCACCCCCAGCTCTGTGGGTGTCCATCCCCAGCAGTGCTGACCACCAGTCAGGGCAGCAGGGCTCATCCCACAGCACCCACTGCAGCTCTCTGCAGCCTCCTTTTCAGAGGGGTCCCTGACCCAGCTGCAGCCCTACCCCAGGCACATGAGGAGGAGGATGGTCTGGGGCCACACCCAGGGATAAGAGCGGGGGTGGGGGGGGAAGGACTCAATTTCTCCTCCCTGCAGACAGACCAGACAGACAGCAGTGGCCACCGAGTGTTATCAACAGAGCTGGAAGCATGAAGGCTCTTCTGTGACCCTGACACCAGCAGCATGTCAGCCCTGTGTCCCACACACCCTCCCATCCTCTGCTCTGCAGAACATCTCTTCTCATTGCCACCACCTTCCCTCTCCTTTCAGATGTCCCTGTCCTGCCCGGAGGTTACCCAGCAGATGGCTATGATGATGCTGGGGAGGTTTCTGACCCTGGGGAGGATCCTGTCCCTGGGCAGGGGGACTGGGAAGTGCCCAGGACACCAGAGGAAGGAGCTGGGCGCAGGGATGCAGTCACAGGTGAGAGGGCAATGCAGCACTGCCACTTCCTAGGTGCCAACCCCAGGCCTAGGCGAATCCATGCCATATTGAAAGCCTGACCATCCATGGAGAACCTGTCCTGGGATATTTCGTGGGGACTGGGAGAATGGGCCGAATGTCTCAGGCTGGTGAGGACGAGGAAGGTGATAAACAGCCCCGAGGGGCACCCCACAGGCCCAACCACAGCAGCCTGCCTTGTTGCTTACAGGGGGAAGCCTGCACTCCCGGAGAAGTGCTGTGGTCCATGGAGCTGAGGGACACACCTCGTCACCTTTCCTGGGGACCACGGGCTATGACGATGTTGAAGAGGTGTCTCTGGCATATCCCCATGAGGACACCGAGGATGTGACACCACAGTCCCATGCACAAGAGTTCCAGAGCCCCATGCCAGCAGAGCCCAGCCCTGCTGAACAGCTGGGTGCAGCCGAGAGGGAGGAGAGCTCAGTGCCATTGGGAGAGCCGTGAGTGCCAGGGAATGGTCTCCCTTTTCCAGCAGTCAGCAGACACACATGGGTATTTCCCCTCTTGGTATTCCCCTGTTTTTATGCTGTGTGTTGGTATTTCCTCATATTAAAACCCTCTTTCAGTCTTCCCTGCCCAGGTGTCAGGGTGTCTCCCTGAGGCGGATGGAGGGGAGAAGATCTCAAAGATGCAGCAGTTGGGAAGGGGCACATCTTAGAGCCAGCAGGATCGGGGTCTGGCTTTGGGGCTGACAGAGCCCCTGGTCCCTGGACACTATTCCTACTGACAGAGACATTTCCGTCCTGCCAGCCACAGGCATTTTCCAGACAAAGTGGATCTCATGGAAGCCCCATGAGACACTCCCTTGCAGTGCCCACCTTCTGCTGCCTTGGGCCCCCACGGAGCCTAAGGATGCCTGCCCAGCACCCATGGACAGAGATACCTAAGTTGCAAGAGGTGAACGGGGAGATGTCTTGGACCCTTGGGCAGGACTTGGCACCAGCTCCTGTTGGTGGGTCCCCACAGCCCTCCAGGTCTTTCCCAGCAGGCTCCTCTGCTGCAGGCTGGGAGGTGCTTTTGGTAGTGGGATGGTGGGCTGGAACACCTATTGGAGCATCTATTTAATCCCGTTGGGTCAGCTGTCCTGGCTGTTTATAGTCTTCTCTGGGTCAAGAACTAGCTGGAGGACCATGCCCAGCGGGTTGTGGTTAATGGAGTTCAGTCCAGTTGGCGTCCCGTTACAAGTGGCGTCCCCCAGTGGTTGGTACTGGAGCCTAGCTTGTATAATACCTTTATTGATGACCTAGATGAGGGGTTGAATGTACCCTCAGTAAGTTTGCAGACGACACCAAGTTGGGAGGTAATGTTGATCTGCCTGAGGCTAAGGTGGTCCTTCAGAGGGATTGGGATAGGCTGGGCTGAGGCTAATGGGATGGGGTTTAACAAGGCTAAGCACCAGATCCTGCACTTTGGCCACAACAACCCCATGCAATGCTATAGGCTTGGGACAGAGTGGCTGTGAAGAGGAAAGGGACGTGGGAGTGATGATTGATGTTTGGCTGAACATGAGCCGGCAGCGTGCCCAGGTGGAAAGAAGGCCAATGGTATCCTGGCCTGTGTTAGAAATAGTGTAGAGAGCAGCGAGGTGATCATCCCCCTGTACTCAGCTCTGGTGAAGCCACACCTGGAGTACTGTGTTCAGTTTTGGGCCCGTCACTACGAGAAGGACACTGAGGCCCTGGAGCATGTCCAGATAAGGTCAACAAAATTGGTGAGGGGTCTGGAGCACAGGTCCTCTGAAGAGTGACTGAACGAGCTGGGATTGTTTAGTCTGCAGAAGAGGAGGCTCAGGGGAGACCTCATTGCAATCTACAACTTCCTGAAGGGAGGCTGTGATGAGGAGGGGGTCAGACTCTTCTCTCAGATAACTAATGGTAGCACTCGAGGAAATGGCCACAAGTTTCACCTGGGGACATTTAGATTAGATATCAGGAAAAACTTTTTCTCTCAAAGAGTGGTCAGGCACTGGAACGGCCTCCCCAGGGAGGTGGTGGAGTCACCATCCTTGGCAGTGTCCAAGAAGCACCTGTCTCAGGTGCTTTGAGATATGATTTAGTAGCTTAGGGGTAGTATTGATGGTAGGAGGATGATTGGACTAGATGATCTTGTAGGTTCTTTCCAACCCTGTGTTTTTATGATTCTATGATTCTGTGACTAATGGTAACAAGTAATGTGCTTGGGGTCTGACTTTGAATTAGGAAATGAGGTTGGGGATTAGAGCAATGGATGCCTTAAAGGGAGAGAGAAAGCATTAAGGACAGCACTAGATTTTCGGGTTACTAGTTAGAAATATTACCAGGACACAACATGAAGATGTTCCCTGTGAGTGTTGCAGAAGCATCAGCCTTACCTGAATCCCTCTTAAATCTTTAAAATCTTTCCTTTTTGTTAGCGAAACCCCTCTTCTCTCTCCCAAATCCCCCACCGTTATTCTCCCAGCTTTCCCCTGGCCTCACCAAATGTGTCACCCTGTTGGGGACAGCTTTCTGAGGGCCTTTGTGACCTCAGAGGCTCTGCCTCCCTGCTGTTGTCCAGACAGGTGCTGTGACACAAGTGACATCACAGCCAGTGTTCACAGGGCTACAAGGAACTGTTGTGCTCAGCAGGTCTCATCCCAGCCCACCGAGAAGCACTGGGTGCAGGGGGTGCTCTGCACAGTCCCTCAGGTACTCTGCCTGCCAACCAGTTCCTGCTTTGGGAGGTCTCCCACATATCCAAACTCATGTTTCCCCATGTAGGTTTCAGCAACTCCAGGGCATCCTGAAGGAAATGGCCACCTCTGTGTGGAAAACTGATTCAAGAACTGAATGCATATTTTAGAAAAATGTTGAGAACTCTTCAGAGAAGGAGTTGGTGTGAAAGTCATGATGACTAGCATTGGTCATATCCATATCTAGTGAACAAGGACTCAGCCTAGACTGCTCTGTGGTTCCCTTCTCTCTGCCAGGAGGCCAGCCCAGCCCAGACCCTCCCCAGCTCTCCACACCTCCATCTCCTCTACCCAACCCAGCCCAGGAGGGAAACCCAGGCTGGGCTGGCAACAAAGCTGCAAATGAAGAAGGGGAGGTCACTGGAAGTGTCTCTGCTGCTGCAATCTGCAGGAGATAAACACCCCCAATCCACCTTCCCAGACACCCTAGAGCCTCCCAGACCAGCCCTGCTCCCCAGCACATCACAGCACCACACTGCTGGCCCTGGGGCTCCTCAAGCAACACCACTGCACACACACTCAGTGCCCTGCTCTGCTCCCAGGACACACCATGTCCTGCACAGCCTTCCCCCAGCCCAGCACGTCCGGGCTGGTCTGAGCAGCCATTCCTGCAGCCCCTGCCCATGCTGCCCACAGCCCCCCAACTGGCGGTGCTGCTCTGCAGAACGAGGGGGCTGTGGTGCATGGGGCCATGGGGGCACTCAGCAGGGCCATGCTGGTCAGGCTGGTGTGAGATATGTTCATCTGATTCGTGTCAGTATGGAACAATTCTAGGGCCACATGGTATGATGAATGCGACCTTCTTTCTTACATACACTTGTATAACCACATAGGTTATACCACAAATGTATGAGCCATTTATTACACTGGGAAGGCAGAGCCAGATGGTGTCAGGGGCACTGCCACTGACTGCCTCCCACCCAAGTGGTTCTTTGGCCATGGAGGGTGCGCACAGATAGCTGGCCTTCTTCAGAGTCAGAGACTCTTTGAATACAGCTGTGCTGCCCTGCAGCCACAGACTTACCCTGTTCAGGGTTCTGAAGATTTCTCCCACTGTGATCTCTCAGCATCCCCCCTCCACACTGCCTTTAACATCTCCCTCCCTTCTCTCAGCCACCCTTGTCCCCTGCAGGCAGTGTCCCCAGCCCTGCTGCGCTGTGCAGAGGAGCTGCTCCTGGGCAGAGCTGTCTCTCTGCAGTGCTGCCCGCTTACCAGAAGCTCCCCTTGGGCCCAGGAGTCCAGCCTAGGTCAGCAGCACAGGGAGCTCTTGACAAATTCCTGGGACTCTAGAGGAAACAACGTTGAAATAGAATGAAGTTATCACAGATGATCCTTCCATCCACTGGGGAAGGAAACTCATTTCCAGCACTATCATTTCTCATATCAAAAGAAGTATGAGGTTCAAGAATCACCTTTCTGTGTTCTGGTTTTAGGCAGGACACCCATACAGGGATAGGGAGGGATCTGCCTTCATTTGCTGAGGGAAGCTAGGTTGCAGATGACACCAAGCTAGGTGCGTGTGTCGATCTGCTCGAGGGTAGGAAGGCTCTGCAGGAGGATCTGGATAGGCTGCACCGATGGGCTGAGGTCAACTGTATGAAGTTCAACAAGGCCAAGTGCCGGGTCCTGCACCTGGGGCGCAATAACCCCAAGCAGAACTACAGGCTGGGAGATGAGTGGTTGGAGAGCTGCCAGGCAGAGAAGGACCTGGGAGTGATGGTGGACAGTCGGCTGAATATGAGCCAGCAGTGTGCTCAGGTGGCCAAGAAGGCCAACGGCATCCTGGCTTGTATCAGAAACAGTGTGACCAGCAGGGCTAGGGAGGTGATCGTCCCCCTGTACTCGGCTCTGGTGAGGCCGCACCTCGAGTACTGTGTTCAGTTTTGGGCCCCTCGCTACAAGAAGGACATCGAGGTGCTTGAGCGGGTCCAAAGAAGGGCGATGAAGCTGGTGAGGGGCCTGGAGAGCAAGTCCTATGAGGAGCAGCTGAAGGAGCTGGGCTTGTTCAGCCTAGAGAAGAGGAGGCTCAGGGGTGACCTTATTGCTCTGTATAAGTACATTAAAGGAGGCTGTAGCGAGGTGGGGGTTGGCCTGTTCTCCCATGTGCCTGGTGACAGGACGAGGGGGAATGGGCTAAAGTTACGCCAGGGGAGTTTTAGGTTGGATGTTAGGAAGAATTTCTTTACTGAAAGGGTTGTTAGGCACTGGAACGGGCTGCCCAGGGAGGTGGTGGAGTCACCATCCCTGGAAGTCTTCAAAAGACGTTTAGATGTAGAGCTTAGGGATATGATTTAGTGGGGACTGTTAGTGTTAGGTCAGAGGTTGGACTCGATGATCTTGAGGTCTCTTCCAATCTAGAAATTCTGTGATTCTGTGAAGGGTTTCAGCTGAATCAACCAAGGCATCTCATTCTTTGCAATCCAACGGTTAGAAGGAGGCTTTGCTCTCTCACATGCGCAATAAGCCCACAGGAGCTGGGATTTCTTTTGCCTAGGTTCAGGTGGGCACACTCCAGTCTTGTGCAAGTGAGCTAGTCTCAGCTCCCAGCACACTGAATAGAGACAGAGGCCAGGAGGGAGCTGTTCATATGCAAACACCAGGTGACATTGGAGGTGCCAGAGGTGGGCCAAGATATATGCAAGTATCTTCATGCTCTGATCGATTAATTCCAGGAATCAGTTGGGCATCTGGGGACATCATTCTTAAGTGCAGGGAGATTTTCTTGGTCAAATGAAAATGAAACCAGATACCTAAATTAAAGATCATTGATTCTTTTCACTGTTCATTAATATATTCTGAGCAGCCTACAATGGCTTTCATCTGATTTGGTCATTTATGGGTGTCATTTACGATAGGCAGAG